TCACATCCCCTTATCAGTGAAGAACGTGGTCACCAATCAGAGCATGCATTCCTATTGAGCCTTGGTCTTAGAAGGCCCCGCAAATTCTTGTATGGGGATTTAGAAGAACTTTGTGTTCCTGTTGGGGCCATCGAAACCTGTCCAGATTTCTTTGTTCCTTAAATAGGAAGGCCTACAAAATGTTGAGTTTCTGAATGAATGAAGCCAGTGTCTCCGCTGGTGGAGCCGCTTGGCGCATTGAAAACATTAGTCTGTTGTTATCCAATCACCCTTGGTCTTTCGGCCTTCGGACCAGCAGTCTTCTTCATGTCTAGATATTTGCCAAATTCTAGACATTTCGCATGAAACATGTGGCCTTTTGAGCCTGACTGATTTCACTCAGCACCATGCTTTTCTCATGATCCATTTCTCCTTTCAGCCAAGCCCCACTCCGTTGTCGAACACTTGGGTGCACTCCACCTTTTGGCCAATATGAAAACGCTGCACTGACTTTTGTGTACAGGTTATCTGCTTGTGTCCCTGCTTTTGGTTCTTTGGGGTGTCTCATCTAGAGTTGGGATTACTGGGTCATGTTAGTTTTTTGTTTGTTATTTAAATATTAATTATATGTTTTGCTGAAAAGACACAAATCAAGGCAGCATGAGCTGTCCAATGAGACTCTGTCACCGTTTTTGGCCCCGTTTCTGGACACCATGTCTGTCTGGCCCCTGCTTGCAGGTCCTGTTTGAGCTGAGAACTCCCCTCTCCAGTGTCTCAGCATGGGGAGGTCGTAGTCTGTACACAGCCTGGTCTTAGATCTCAGGGACTGGACTACAGGCTAAGAGGTTACCTCGTCTCGAGAGCCAGAGCCATGTGATTCTGTTTACCAGTCTGCCTCTGCCCTCCCAGGACAGTCACCTGGAGAAGTTCTTTACCCTGTGCCACGCTCTGGAGAGCCAGGTGACCTTCCCACTGCGTGTGCTGGACCAGAAGGTCAGCGAGGCTGCCCTGGAGCATGAACTGAAGCTCAGCATCATCTGCCTCAACTCCTCCCGCCTCGAGCCTCTGGTTCTCTTCCTGCATCTGGTGCTGGACAAGCTCTTCCAGCTGTCTGTGCAGTCCCTGGTCATCGCTGGCCAGACAGGTGAGGGTCTGGTGGGGGTGGGGACACAGAGGCCAGGCAGGGTTTCCCCGTAGCCCAGGGAGCAGGGGCACTGCCAACTTCCTTTGTACTGGTGGTGGGGGTTCCTAGGGGGTGGTGTTGGGGAAGTCCAGGCCCCATGTTTGTGGACCCCCCGGTTGTTAGGAATCAATGAAGGTACACTTTAAGTCATCCAACATCTGAGATCAAAAGCGCAGCGTTTACCCAAAGACAGTGTCCAGAAGGTTCAGGGAAGAAGTTGCACACATGATGTTACCGTGTGGGGAATGCAATGCCTGGAATGAAACAACGTCTGTGAATTAGGGAATGGAAAACCGATCTCCGATCTGCTCTGTCAGCCTTCAGCAAATTCACAAGAAAAAGAACAGAGTGAATGAGTGAATGTTGAAGTGGACGGCTTTACAGTCTAGTTAAGTTTCTGGGAGTTGCAAAAGCGAGGGATTTCAGCTGTTAATAGATAGACTAGAGAGTCACATTAAGGGGACATTCTGCTCCCCAAAAATCCGCCCCTGAGAACCCCGTGGAGCAGAGTTCTAGTCTGACTCCCCCAGGGTTGGTCTTCATACTTCAGTGGGGCCTCCGTGTTCCCTTTGCTTCTTCAGCCAACTTCTCACAGTTTGCCTTCGAGTCTGTGGTGGCCATAGCCAACAGTCTGCATAACAGTAAGGACCTGAGGAAGGACCAGCATGGACGGAACTGCCTACTGGCCTCCTACGTCCACTACGTCTTTCGCCTGCCGGAGCCGCACAGAGACTTGCTCAAGTCAGGTAACGTGGGTGCAGGTGGGGCTGGGGGAGGGACGCCCACTCTCTGCCTTAGCCACGTCCTTCAAAATACCTCAGGTAAATGTCATGTCTCGGAGTAACACAAAATTTGCATGCATGTGGAACAGAAAAGTGTCTTTCTGAAGTTTTCTCTCTCGTTTTCTTCCTTCTGCCCTGTTTGGTACTTTTAGCACCTACCCTTGAGAATCCCTTCTGGGCCTTTGCCTAGTTGCTAATTTCTAATTTATTTGAGGGTCTCTGTTGTTTAAGAGGCCTCCTGGTATGCTGCTATAAGATCAGCATTGGACTATGAACCACAAGGTCAGCAGTTCAAACCCACCAACTGCTCCTTGGAAACCCTGTATAGGTTTGCTATGAGTCAGAACTGACTTGATGCCACTTAACAACAACAATATAAAAGAAAGGAGTCCCATGGTGAAGTGGGTTACAAGCTGAGTTGCTAACCTTAAGAGCAGCAGTTTAAATCTACCAGCCGCTCTACAGAAGAAAGATGAGGCTTTCTGCTCCTATAAAGATTTACAGCCTGAAAAACCCTGTACTGTAAATATCGGGTCACTATGAGTTGGAACTAGCTTCACAACACACAACCACCACCATCATAAAAGAAAGGAGACCTGGTGGTGTAGTGGATTATGAGTTGGGCTGCTAACTGCAAGATCAACAGTTCAAATCTACCAGCCGCTCCATGGAAGCTTTCTGCTCCCATAAAGATTCACAGCCTTGAAACTCTACAGAAGGTTGTTATGACCCAGAATCGACATGATGGCAGTTGGTTTGGGTTTATTATAAAAGATCATTTCATTAGGCAAATCTGCTGCAAAAGACCTCTTTATTGAAAAGCAAAGATGTCACTTTGAGCACTAAGGTGTGCCTGACCCAAGCCACTGTATTTCAGTCACCTCATATGCATGTGAAACTTGGACAGCAAATAAGAAGACGGAAGAAGAATTGATGCCTTTCAGTTCTGGTGTTGGAGGAGAATATTAAAAGCACCATGGATTTCCAGAAGAACAAACAAATCTGTTTGGAGGAAGTACAGCCAGAGGGTTCCTTAGAGGCCAGGATGGAGAGTTTTTGTCTCATGTACTTTGGACATGTCAGGAGGGACCAGACCCTGGAGAAGGTATCATGCTGGGTAAAGTGGAGGGTCAGCGAAAACGAGGAAGACCCTAAAGAGACAGGCTGACACAGTGGCTGCAACATTGGGCTCAAACGTAACAAAAATTGTGAGGACAATGCAGGACCGGGCAGGGTTTTGTTCTCTTGTGCGCAGACTCGCTATGGGTGGGAACTGACTGCATGGCCCCTAACAATTGTTGTTGTTGTTAAGTGCCATCAAGTCGGTTCCGACCCTGTACAGGATTTCTGAGGGTGTAAATCTTTATGGGAGTAGAAAGCCTCATCTTTCTCCCGCAGAGCGGCTGGTAGTTTCGAACCACTGACCTTAAGGTTCGCAGCCCGATTCGTAACCACTACTCTACCAATATCAACTGATGAAAAGGAAAAGAACAGTACCGGTACTGGCGGCTCCTAAACTATTTTGTGTGAAATAGTTAATAACCCATTTCCCCAGAATTTCTGGTTGGCATGGTCTATAAAGTACTATTCCTGAGTTCACAAAATTCCAGGCCCAAAGAAACTTGGCATTTTTTATTAGTCTGTGCTGTTTCATTCCATGCAAATCTATAATTTCCAGTGAGTTTTTAAAAGTGCTGGTAATATCTTACTATATAGAGATATTTTGGCTATTTCAGTTTGAATCTAAAGGTTTGTGGTTCAAACCCACCAGCAGCTCCTCAGAAAGTCTATACAGGGTCGCTATAAATGGAACCAACTCCATGCACTTAACAACAACAACATCTAATAGTGGGAGAAAGATGAGACTTTATGTTCCTGCAAAGATTTACAGCCTCGGCAACGCTATACTGACTCGATGGCACGTAACGAGACAGCCCCACTGTCTTGTTGATTTCCATAACCACTTTTGAAGACACGTCAACACTCTAAGATCAGATACAATCCTCCCCGGTGTGTGCTTAGTTTCAGATATTTCTTAGGATTTTCAAGTCTCAACAAATTGTACCGCATGGATTATATAACACTGCCATCACTTTAAGATTAATAAATTAAAAATACCCACGTTTCCACTTCTTCTGAAAAACAGGAAACTCTGGTAATCCTGAGTTGATAAGTATGTCATGCTACACCCATGTATATATAGCAACACGTAAGCGTGCTTACGAAAATACCTCGGAGGTGGGAAAGGTGCGGTCAGCAAAAATGCACAACTAGCACCGTATTTATGTAAAACTGTGTAGAAGCTCCTGTCTTTGGGTGAGGTTTGCGATTCAGTTCATTGCAGCCCTTGCCACTCCCTGATGCCTCGGACCCTACACATTGCCTCCCTGGCTGTCCTGTTATGTTGTTGTGATGTGCCGTGGCGTTGGTTCCGACTCATAGCAACCCTGCACAGGGTTTCTGAGGCTGTAAATCTTTACAGGAGCAGAAAACCTCATCTTTTGCCCACGGAACAGCTGGTAGTTTCAAACTGCTGACCTGAAGGTTTGCAGCCCGATTAGTAACCACTACGTTACCAGAGATTCGGTAATGAGACCCTAATTTCAAGGCATGTCTAGTTGGGTCTTCATTCCACCATATTCCCAACTCTTCTCCAAATGAGTGACGCTGATCCCTGTCTGTCCCCATGTTTTATCTGGCGGTGATAGGCAGCTCCACTTCTGTCCCAGACCCGCGTTACCACACATACGGACGGACCTCTGCCGCCACCGTGAGTTCGAAGCTGCTGCAAGCCCGGGTGATGAGCAGCAGCAACCCAGACCTTGCGGGGACACATTCTACAGACAATGACCAGGTCACAGCCATCATGTCTGCAAAGGTAGGAAACACTGCGTTGCGGAGGTCCACATGGGTGTTTTTAGGTTTTAGCTGAAACCTAAACATAAAATCACACACACACACAGGGAGGGAGAGGCAGGGGAAGTGAACAGTATAGCAGAATACTAACCTAACCATCCGGAGATCTGGGGAAAAGATACATTACTGCTGATCAAATGCTGTTGCAATTCATCTATGAGTTTGACATATTTCAAAATAAAAATTTGTTTTAAAACCGTAGCATTCGTTGAAAAAACAAAACCTAAAGAAGGTCATTTCAGTACACTCTAGTATCCTGGACTGGAACCTGAGGCATAAACAGGACGTTAGTAGAAAAACTTGTGGCTTGGCTCATAGTAATGTACCAGTGTTAATTTCTTAATTTTGACAAACAGACCACAGCTGTGTAAGATACTAACACTAGAGGAAACTCTGGAGGGCAGACCAGAATCTCTGTGCCTTCTTTGCAATTTTTCTACAAACTTAAAATAATCTTGAAACTGAAAGTGTATTTTAAAAAGGCAATCCGTACTCCAATTTCAACCTTTCCTAATCATTTTCTGCATGTTACTGTTACACGAGGGAGCTTCAAGAGGTTTGTGGGTAAGTGGAATTCAAAGATGATAGAATTTCCCACAAACTTTTCGATGCTCCCTCATATATGTTCTTAAGGCTCTCTGTGTTATTGTTTCTATATGGTGGCAACACTGTATCATGCTGTATTGTTAGTGTGTATTTCTCCCCAACTCTGCCTTCAGTGACACCTTGTTGGTAGCTTGGAATGGACCATGATGTGAGTATTTACACCAAGGCAATTGGCAAACGCTACAAATTTACCCCTTACCCTAGTTAGTAAGCATTTGCCAGCACATTATTGATTCAACTTTGTTGTTAAGGCTCTTTTAAGCAATACCAAAGGAGCCCTGCAACTGCAAGGTCTGCAGTTCAAACCCACCAGCCGCTTTGAGGGAGAAAGAGAAGGCACTGTGCTTCTGTTAAGATGGCAGCCTCCGGAACCCTCTGGGGCGGTTCTCCTCTGGGCCGGAATCAACTTGGTGACAATGGGTTTGGGTTAAGCATTGTCAGCATCTAGTTCTAACTGTCACTGACAGTGTCAGTTCATGATTTCCTTGAAGAAAAATGGGAATATTTAGCATTGAATTTCTAATTATTTTGTAGCAAGCCATGGAAATATTGCCCAACCTAAAGAATAGAGCATGTCCCTTTTCAAAAGTGTTTTGTTGTTGTTGTTGTTTTACAATGGATTCAATATATCAATATAGTGTTCGTTATTGTTGTTGTTAAGTGCCATCAAGTTGGTTCTGACACACAGTGACCCTGTATAGGGTTTCCAAGAAGCAGCTGGTGGGGGTTTGAACTGCCAACCTTGTGTTTCAAACCGACCTTGCAGTCTAGTGCTTTATCCCAAAGTGCCACACCATACACGTAGTGTTTAGGAAACTTAATACAGTACCACACTTAACCACAGAGAAACTCTGTTTTCATGTATCTTTTTCCGTCTTCTAATGAAGTTACGGAGTCCTCGGGTGGTGCTGTGGGATAAAACACTGGACTGCAAGGTCGGTTTGAACCACAAAGTTGGCAGTTAAAATTCACCAGCCACTCCTCAGAAACCCTGTAAGATGGTTGCTATGAGTGAGAACCGACTTGATGGCACTTTACAACAACAAAGTTACAGAATCTAAGAGTATTGAAGGAACAAATTAATATGCCTGAACCTAAAATTGTGTTTAACGATCCTTCTGCTACTCTTCATGGGGAGTCTCTCAGAAGGGAAGGGATTGGGTGTAACTCCATCTGCCTTGCTTTATTTAGACATTTATTCATGACAATTGCTTCACCTTTGTGATGAAACAGGAGGTAGCTTAGAAATTCCTCCCGAGATGAGCGCAGGTCCTTGGATGTGTCTGTCAGCTGACAGCTGAGTCGTGGTTGATGTATTTCAGGTTGCTGATCGCACCTGCAACCGGATGTCATATTACAGCACTGGCAATAATGATGCCCCTAACTCCAGCTCGGCCCCGAGGCCTGCCAGCAAAAAGGTACTGTACCACAGCACAGAAGGGGGGTGGGGGGCTTTGATGAGATTGAGAATCGATGCTCCTCTTCACGCACGCACCCACATACATACTGACACACACTTTTGCGGCCGATGTCCTCGTGCCTGTTTTGACCATCTATTGGGGGCAGTGATTTTGGTAGAATTCTCGCCTCCCACACAGGACACCTGGGTTCTGGTTCATCTGTCAGCGGAGGCTAAACAGGTTTCAGTAGAACTTTCAGACTAAGGTGGAGTAGTCAGAAAGGCCTGGAGATCTGCTTCAGAGAATCAGCCAGAGAGCCTTGTGGATCACACGAGTCTGATCCGAGGACGGTCACAGGGCAGGCGCAGGACTGGGCAGTGTTTCCTTCCCCCGAGTGGGGGCCAACTCGAAGGCCATGAACGTAAACTAGTGATTCTCCTGTGTTCATGGTGTTTCATCCAGTCACCTGGATGCTTGTGAAAAATGATCACCACCCTTCCCCCAATGCCCACCCTGTAGTTTCTGACTCAGTGGGTCTGCTCAGCTGCATTGCTTACAGTTCCCTGCTGGTGGTTCTGGTCCAGAGAACACACTTGGGCACCCCTGGACGCATATCTATTCTGTGGCAAGTGAGCCAGGGATCACTCACCTTGACCACAGTGAGTGGGCAGTGTTTCCTATAGTGACTTCAGAGTTGTGACCATAATGCAGAATTCTCTAAGGCCAGCCTGACCTTTGGTTCAGAACCTTTACGTGTTCTGAAACTGCCTAGCATGCCCCCTGGTGGTGGTGTGCGGAGTCGGTTCTGACCCATAGTGACCCTGTACAGAGTTGCCGTGGCTGTAAATCTTTACGGGAGCAGAAAGCCTCATCTTTTCTCCCGTGGAATGGCTGATAGTTTCAAACTGCTGACCCTGAGGTTAGCAGCCTGATTCACAATCACTATGTTCCCTAAAACTTCTTGGTTCAAGTCAATCCCCAACGCCTGGTGACACCACGTGTGTCAAAGCAGAATTGTGCTCTTGGCCAGGATCAGGTTACCAGATAAGCAAGGTAAGCTCGAGCTGGCCTGTGCTTACTCACTAACCCACTGACCTTTTGATTAGCAGTCCAGGGCTGATCCTACAGCGCCACTCTAGGATTCTCATGTCATTGTTAGGTGCCATCATGTTGCTTTCAATTCATGGTGACCCCATGTGACAGCATTGAATGGCCCCATAGGGTTTCCTGGACTGGAATCTGTCTAGGATCAAGTGGCCAGATCTCTGTCCCATAGTGTGGCTCGCTGTGTTCAAGCCATCAGCCTTTGGTTAGCAGCCAAGTGCTTAACCACTGAGCCACCAGGGTCCCTTTTTAAAGTACATCAGACTTAGAAAATGGGGTTGCATGCATGCTGGCTGTTGTGGGTCCCTTTAAGGCATTGCCGAGGACAGCATTTGCTGGGGGCACTGATTGCTTCAGACATTGGCTTTCGATCCTCCACATAAGACACAATGCCAGCATACAATGCTGTTTCAATAGTGTTTCCTTTTTCACCCATGGAACCATCAAATACGAGGCTACCGGTATTTATTTTTTCTAAGTTTTCTGGGGCTTAGAAACATACACACGCAAACCGGTTGCCATGGAGATGACAGGCTCATGGCACCCTGTGTGTGCCAGAGTAGAACTGGGCTCCACGGGCTTTCCAATGGCTGAGTTTTTTTCTTCTTGGAAGTAGCTGGCCAGTGAACGTGCTGACCATTTTACACCGATCGGGAGCTCCCCACAAGCTGTTACCAGGTGGGATTATTAAAAGGGGTGTTGGGGACTCACTGCACACCCCATCACAGCCTGGTCCTGTCCTTGTCTTTCAGCATTTCCATGAGGAGCTTGCCCTGCAGATGGTGGTCAGTACTGGCATGGTGAGGGAAACCGTCTTCAAGTACGCCTGGTTCTTCTTCGAGCTTCTGGTGAGACTCGTGTGTTTGCATCTGTGTTCCGTGGGGTGTGACAAGCATGCTGTCAGAGACTGAGGAACTGATGCTTTGTCCAGCCAGCTGTTCCTGCTACAAACCTGCCCTTGGTCCTTGAATCTGAGTCTCTTACCCTTCCCCCAGTCTTTCCCACCTATAAAACCCATATCCAGCCTGTCACCTCTCCCTACCTGGCCAGCCACCATCTCATCTCTTGTGCCTCCTCGCTCCCCAGCTGCATTGGTTTCACATAGGCAGTCAGTGTGAGGAAGCCCATCTCTCCACCTTCAGATTCCTCTGCAGGGACCTGAGTTTCTGTTGGGAATGATGAAAAGCATTCGTGTGATGGCTCCATGTGGCGAAGGTCATGAAAGTCACAGAATCATATGATTAAAGATGGCTAACATGGTAATGTTCTAATTACTCAACCACCAGGTCGGCGGTTCAAACTCACCAGCAGCTCCACGTTAACCCTAGACAGGGCCGCTATGAGTCAGAGCCGACTCAATGGCACTTCACAACAAATATAAAACAAAAAACCTTAATGATTTCTAGTGGACCAGGGGAAAGACACACATCTATATTCACCCGGGCCAAAAACACCTGCTCTGATTCTGCCCCCTGCTGTTGTTCCTCCTTCGACCACCTTGTACTTCTTTCCAGTCCTTGAGGATGCGAAGGGCGTTCAGCCTTTAGAGTCTCCATCCTCTACTCCCCTGTCTTCCTTCTCTAGAGCTGCGATCAGAAATAGCACAAGAGGGGGACTTTCACAAACAGAAGTCTATTCTCACACAGAGTGGGAAACTGTAAGTTAGAATTCAGGGTGCCAACTCTGGGAGAAAGCTTTAACAGAAATACCACAAGAGGGGGGTTTTAACAAACAGAAAGATACTTTCTCACAGTGTGGGAGGCTACAAGTTGGAATTCAGGTCGCCATATCTAGAGGCAGCTTTCTCTGTCGGCTCTGGGGGAAGACTTTGTTCCTTGCCAACCTTCATGTGGCTTGGGGTCTGTCTCTTACTTGCTTCAACTCTTTTATTATGAGATGGACTGAGATGCATCCTCCAGGCACACCGCCTCCTTAGCATCACACAGGAAGCCCGGTTCCAGATGGGAGCATGGCCACAGGTATGCCCATTGCTACCCAGAGGATTCGAACGCCCAGCAATTTATAGGACAAAGTAGAATTGCTCCTTAGGGTTTCTGAGGCTATAAATCTTTACAGAACAGACAGCTTCATTGTTCTGCTATGCAGCAGCTGCTGGGTTAGAACCACCGACCCGTCAGTGAGCAGCCTAGTGCTTAATACACGGCACCCCTGGGCTCCTTAGGGGTTAGGATTTACTCCAACACATTTTGAGGGGTACACATCTCAACTTGTAACAGGCTGAGGAGAGAGGAGATCATTTCCCTGACATCTCTTCTCTCCCCACTGATTCCTGGTGGTGTTCTCCCATTGGCCAACCCCAGCGGAAACTGACCCGTGTTGCAGTTCATCATTCAGCTGCCTGGGACTCAGAGCTGGGCAGAGAAGGCCAGAATTCCACCTGAGTGGCAGGTGGTGGCGAGTAGAAAGTCTCTTGGATACTGATGGCCGGGAGGTTATTTAAAAACCTGAGGCGTTTTCTCCCAAGACAAAGAAATCACAGGCTCCTGGGTTTGGCCAACAACCTGGGTGTTTCCACAGCCTTCTCTGTGCTGATGCTTGAGTGCTAATGAACCTCCACTTTGGCTGCGGGAGCTGGGAATCCCGTCTCACGTGAGCTGGGAATCCCGTCTCACACTTACTAATGAATAAAACCCTGTGCATTCCAGAACTTCTGAGCCAGACCTCACTGGTTTACCTATTTAAGTTCTACACCAAAGGAGCCTTTAGAAGGCGCCCCAACACTGAATGAGCCACAGAGGCCAATGTAGGGGGGATGTTTTCCTGCCTGTCTCCTCAGTAATGGGCCAAACGTTTGCTAATATTTCTACTGGACGTTGTCCCCTGGGGACACAGGACACGGGAGCTGGCAAGTCGAAGCTGCTCTGGAAGGAGGCCATCCATCCGTTGGAAGCACACTATTGTGAGAATTCATTATTTGGCTGTAGGATGGCCCGCTCAGCAGGCAGGAGCCGAAAACAGCAGTGTGTGCCAAAGGCCATCAGAGACTCGGGACTGGGGTGGCCCAAGATAAAGGGGCCGTGTCTTGTAATGTCCTCTGTTTGGAGCGAAGAGAAGGAGGCGCTTCACTCAGAAACAAAACGGGGCTCAGTCCTCACCACTAGTTCTGGTCTGCCTTTGGGAAGTGTGCGGTTCTGTGGGGTATGGACACATATCCAAATGTCCAAGGGGAACGCTGGAGGGAAGAGAAGCCCAGTGCTGCCCTGGCCTTCAGGATCATACATCCTCAGGTCTTTGCAAGAAACACACAAAGCCTGCCTGCCTGCCTGCCTGCCTGTCTGTCTGTCTGTCTGTCTGTCTGTCTGTCTTCTCCGTGTATCACCTGTTGGATTTTCCTCTCTCTTTGTCTTATTGCTCATGGAAAGTCCTGCATCGTTCAAAACAGAAATCTGCTGCAAGTGTGCAAAAGTGCTTCCCACATCGTGCTTGGAGTGCAGGGCAGCCTCTCCACACAGTCCCCTTTGTCCCCCTTGTCCAGCCTGGCCTAGGGGCCACCTGCAGGCAACTGGGGGCGGTGGGGGCGGGGGGGAGGGTCCATTTCCAGAATATTTCCTTTTCCTTTCCTCCCATCCTCTTTTGTTCCCTTCTTCTTCCCTCCCTCCCTTTTACATACTTTCCTTCCTTTCTTCAAGATGTTTTCACTCACCAGCCCCAATCGTCCATATTTACACTTAAGTGGCATTGATGACACATGCCATAGTGTGCCACCATCATCAGCATCCTCTTCCAAACATATCCCACAAAACCTCTTGCCCAATGCTGGCAGCCGTTCATCATTTTTGATTTCCTTGTTGTTGTTGTTGTTGTTGTGTGCCCTCGAATCAGGACCACCTTATCGTGACCCAGTACAGGGTTTCCGAGAGCAGCTGTTGGGTCTGAACTGCCTACCTTGTAGTTAGTGTGGTTAGCAGACCAGTGCTTACCCTACAGATTTGCTTGTTTCTTTTAAGTAAAGTCATGCACTGTTTGTCATTCTGAGACGGACTGATTTCACTCAGCACCACGTCTTCAAGGTCAGTCTGTGTGGCGGCACGCAGAGCCATTTCTCCATGTGGGATGCTCTGCCCAGCCTGGACAGGCTCATGAACAAGGCGGCCTCAGAGGGGAGACAGACGCCAGCCACATGGACTCATTGGCTTTCCCACCAGATGGTTCCGAGAAGCTCTGAGACACTTGCAAGAAGACAACATTTGGCTTCAGACTAATGACGGGGTTGTCTTAGCCCGCATAGTCCCCTGCAAAACCCAAGCATGTTCTTGATTTAAAGATTTACACCCTCGGAAACCCTGTACAGGGTCGCTATGGGTCGGACCCGACTCGATGGCACTTAACAACAACAACAACAAGGCACGAAAGGCACCCTAGTGATGCAGTGGTTAAGCACTAGGCTGCTAACTGAAAGGTCAGAGGTTCAAATCTACCACTTGCTTCATGGCAGAAAGATGGGGTAGCCTGCTCCCGTGGAGAAGACAGCTGTGGAAATGATGGGGCAGCCCTACTTGATCTTGTCTGTGAGTCAGACCCTGGTCTGTGAAGCAGAGTCCACTTAAAGGCCACGGGGTTGGTGTTTGGTTTGGGTTAGGCATGATTTGGAGCTACATTAGTCATAGTACAGACAGTCACTAACTCAGGTTCTTAGTATCAATTTATTTAAAACAACAAAAAATGCAGAATCTGAGAAGCACAATAAAGCAAAGTATAAACAAGCCAAGTGATATAAACAAGCCAAGTGAGCCCGCACAACTGTTGTTAAGTGCCGTCGAGTTGGTTCTGACCCAGGGTGACCCTGTGTTAGGGTTTCTGAGGAGCTGACCTTGCAGTTCAGACCAACCTTGCAGTCCAGCACATTAACCCACAGCACGACCTCAGAACTCTGCCTATACAATAGGACCGTCAATAAGTTGGTGGAAAGATGGAGCTGAAAGATATTAACATTTGTTCCACCAGCCTTCTGAAGCAGAAAATAACTGTGATGCAAACTATAGGTTTTTTATTTTTCTGGGAAGTCTGTGCCCCGGGTTCCAGCGAGACACTCATGATAAGAGGAACGTGTACCCTTTCTTTTCCTTGCTATTGTTTTATGAAGAGGAAGGGCTCTGTCCACCTGGACCAAAGTGCCCAAAACAGATAGTTCTGAGTTACAGCAGAGGGGATGTGGGGACGTGACTGGCAGGGTCTGCCTTCCCAGATATAGAGAGGGGGGGTATCTGCTGATAATGGAGCTAGAGAATGAATCCCCTGCCTTTGTCAGCATCAGCAAGGGGGTCCCCTGAAATGGGGTCAAAAGGAAGATATCCTTCCCGTAGCTTGTTACCATGGTAACTATCCAAGCATCAGGAGTGTGCTTGGGTAGCCAGCAGCACCCACCAATCGTTAGAACGTTGTTGTGAGTGAGGGTTCCTTCCAAGTCCGTGTCCCTGTGTCACAGTGTACAAGCAGGACCCCCTTTTCCATATTGACATTCCCACCCCCTCCTGCAGGTGAAAAGTATGGCCCAGTACGTGCACAACACAGAGAAACAGGACCACTTCCGGAAGACGCGCTTTTCTGACCGTTTCAAAGACGACATCATGACGATTGTGAACGTGGTCACGTCGGAGATCGCAGCTCTTTTAGTCAAACCTCAGAAGGTAATGCGGGCTGTAAGCTTGGCTCTTTATGTTTCACCCTGGGCCTGTTTTACTCTCATGATCCCAGAGAACTAAGCAACCTTTTTAAATAGTCATGGGAATGGAACTCTCAGTAACAACTGAAAATAGTATGTTACAGTAGGTAGGATCCTGGGGGCGGGGATGAGGCCGTTACAAAGAAATTACAATGTGGACTATGATGTAATAACTGTCTCAGGGAGGGAGGGGAAAGAACATTCTCTGTCTTTGGAAACTCACTCTGAAGGAGAGGTAAATGACATGATATTCACATGATGATTGGGGGGGAGGGGAATCATCTTTAAAAAAAAAAAAAAAAGTTGCTATTGATTTGATTCTGACTCACAGCAACGTGTGTGGCCTTAGGGGTTTCAATGACTGATTTTCACGAGTTCATCTCGAGGCACACAGCAACGTGTGTGACCTTAGGGGTTTCAATGACTGATTTTCACAAGTTCATCTCTAGGCCTTTTTTCCAAGGTGCCACTTGGGTAGAATCGAGGTTCACAGCAGAAGGCATTTAACCCTTTGTATCACTCAGGGATTCCTGGTAGATAGGAAAAGTAGATGAAGTCAGTGTAGCAAGTTGTCAAGTACTGATGGATCTGGGTAAAAGGTAGATAGGAGTTTTTGGTACTCCTCTTGCATTCTTTTTTATAAGTTCGAAATTGTTTCAAAATAAAAAGTTGAATCAGATGTAAGTTAAAACAAAACAAAAATTTTAAAGGTAACTATGAAATTTGATTAGGTGCCATCAAGTCGGTCCTGGTCTGGTGCTGAAGGATAAGCACTGGACCACAAGGTCAGTTTGAACTGCAAGGTCACAGGTTCAAACCCACTAGCCATTCCTCAGAAACCCTGTTCAGATACAGAGTGATGCACATGGCAGATGTTGAGTGTGGAGGACAAATGTTCCATTGCTGCCACAGAAGCCCCTCTCCCAGACCTCTGCCCCTCCTCAGGCCTGGTCAGCTTGGCTTGAGTTCACACACTACACATAATAACAAGATGGAAATGTTTTCAGTAGTGTCAAAAGCACGAAAAGGCGAACCCCCAATTGTTCTGAAGGGCCACAAAATCCCTCATAAATATAAGCACCAAGAAGTAATAATAATCATTCCCACGTCCTACTCTGCTCTCTCTCTCACAGTGGAAATAATGCCTAATGCCAGGGGGCCGGGGGATCTTTAGGTGAAAACAGATTCTCTTACCTTGCTTGGATTTTCTGCCAGAATCCATATAAATGAAGAATCTAACTCAGTGAAAACAGTAAATATATTTCAATGGAGTTTTGCTAGCATTAAGCGCTGACCAGAATTAAATAAATGATGGTAAAGCCATACGGAGCAGCCATTAGAAACTGGTTTTGAAAACATTCCAACAATGCAGGAAAGTGCTCCCAATGTTGAATGAAGAAGAACCAGCTCTGTAAATAGAGGCTGAGGTAGGGAGGGGACGGTTCCAACTCACAATGACACTGCACAGGCTTTCCGAGTGACTGGTGGGTTGTCATACTCAGTCTAGTGCTTAGCAGTCCATTGACTGTCCCACAACACCACAGCACGATTCCTATAAGCAGATGGTGATGGTGTCGGTTATGTGCCCTAGAGTCGGTTCCGGCTCACAGCGATCCTGCATGTATATCTTTACAGGAGCAGAAAACCTCGTCTTTATCTTGTGGAACCACTGGTAGTTTCGAACTACTGACCTTGAGGTTAACAGCCCTCGTAACCATTACACTACTAGAGCTTCTTGAAACGGGTTACGTGCATAGAAACATACACACTGAATACGGCAGGGAGAGCTGCTGCCTCTGAATTATGGTGTTGGAGAAGAATATGAAGTAAACCATGAAGTGTCAGAAGAACAAACAAATTTGTCTTGAAAGCGTTCTCTTTAGAACTGAGGATGGTGAGACTTAGTCACATACACTCTGGACATATGATCAGGAGGGACCAGTCCTTGGAGAAGGACTTCATGCTGGGTGAAGTGGAGGAAGACCCCCAATGAGATGGATTAACGCAGTGGCTTCAGCGATGGGCTCAGGTGTAGGAACTATTGTGAGGCTGGAGCAGGACCAGGCAAGGTTTTGTTCTGTTGTGCATGGGCTCAACAACACTTAACAACAACAACAAGGGCGACCTGAAGGAAAAGAAAAATGACTGGAAGGAAATGAACCTAAATGTTAGTAGTAGACAAAGAAATAATTGATTCAACCCAACACTTAGGACAGTAGTTAAGGGCTGCATTTGGGCTTAGTGGTGGCTCAGGGGTAGAATTCCTACCTTACGTGTAGGAGACCTGGGTTCGATTCCCGGCCAAGACACCTTGTGTACAGCTACCACTTGTCTGTCATTGGAGGCTTATGTGTTGCTGTGACACTAACAGGCTTCAGCAGAGCTTCCAGACTAAGACCAGGAAGAAAGGCCTGGCAGTGAAAGCCCTGTGGACGACAATGTTCTGATCTGCCATCAATCATGGAGATGGCTCAGGACTAGACAGGGTTTTGTTCCGTTGTGCTCGGGGTCACCCCAAGCCTAGGACTGACTCCACGGCAGCTGACACCCAGGGACAAATAGTAACGGGGACAGTTTTGCAGAGGGGGAAACTGGTGGCTAGAAAGGTTACCCAGTGCCTCCACAAGGTCAGCGGCTGAAATGGCAGGACTCGCCTCTCTCTCACTCTGACCTCCAGGGACCTGGGTTTAATCACAAAATGAATTGGGTGTGTCTGTCTCTGCTTTTTTTAAGGAAAACGAGCAGGCGGAAAAGGTCAACATCAGCCTGGCTTTCTTCTTGTACGACCTGCTCTCACTCATGGACCGCAGCTTCGTGTTTGACCTCATCCGGCGCTACTGCAATCAGGTGGGGGTGCCCCGTACCCCGGGCGTCATTTTGTTCATTCCCACCTGCAGAATGGGGCACTAGCTTGTTGTTACTGTGTGCCATCAAGTCAATGCCGGTGCACAGCGACCCTATAAATCCAAAAACCAAACCCACTGCCCTAGAGTCGACTCCAGTGTGTCAAAGTAAAACTTCTCTATAGGGTTCCTGGGAATGTCATCTTTACAGAAGAATCCTTGGGGTGGCGTTGTAGAATCAGCACTGAACTCGTCATAGTGAGGTTGGCAGTTCAAACCCACAAGCCGCTCCTCACAAACCCTATACAGGGTCAATAGGAGTCAGAACTGACTCGACAGAACTTAGCAGCAACAACCACTGACTTTCAGAATCAGGCGGCCACGTCGGTCTCCCGTAGAGCAGCTGATGGATTTAAACTAGCCTCCACTTAGTATCCAAACGTTGCTCCGCTGCGTCTGCAGGGCTCCTAAAGCCATCCTCCCTGGGAAAAAGCAGGCCCTTCTCCCCACAGGGCATTACACCGAGAACACCACAACCACTGAACACTGCACTTCCCTTCTCGTCTGTCTTTCCAGCTGGCGGCCAAGCTCAATAGCCTTCCCACGCTCATTTCCATGAGACTGGAATTCCTCCGGGTTCTCTGCAGTCACGAGCACTACCTCAACCTGAACCTCTTCTTCATGAACGCCGACCCGGCGCCATCCTCACCCTGCCCTTCCATATCTTCCCAGGTAACCGGCCAACAAAAGCTTTGTCACATTACAAACTTAGTTTAATTTAGTTTATAATGAACGGGTTGGCAAAGAATACTGACTAGACCACGGGCTGCCAGGAGAATGAACAAATCTGTCTTGGAAGAAGTACAGCCTCAGAAATGATGATGGTGAAACTTTGTCTCGTTTACTTTGCACGTGTTACCAGGAGGAGCTCCCGGGGTGGCGCTGTAGGGTCAGCACTGGACTGCAAACCCCAAGGTCGGCAGTTCAAACCCACCAGCTGCTCCTTGGAAACCCTGTACAGGGTCGTTATGAGTCGGAACCACTTCTACAGCACTGAAAACAAGGACAGTAATAATCAAGAGAGACCAGTCTCTGGAGAATATCCCACTCAGTAAACTCGTGGTGGTGGTGGTGGTTCTGTGCCGTGGAGTCGGTTCCGACTCACTGTGAGACCCTGCTTAGGGTTTCCAAGGCTGTAAATCTTTACAGGAGCAGAAAGCCTCATCTTTCTTCCGTGGAGCTGCTGGTAGTTTCAAACTACTGACCTTGAGATTAGCAGCCCGATTCATAAACACTAGGCTACCAGAGCTCCTTCAGTAAAGTAGAGGGTCAACATAAAACAGAAGCCCCTCAATGAGACGTTTTGACACAATGGCTACACCCATAAACTCAAACACAACGAAACTGGGAGGATGGATGAGGACCGGGCAGTGTTTTGTTCTGCTATACATTGGGTTGCTGTGAGTTAGAAGTGACTTAATAGCATCTAACAATAACATCCTAGTTTAACTCATTCGTTTCCTATAAAGGTTGGTCTTATTAATTAGAAGAAAAGTCAAGCTTTTCACACCAGACCGATTGATCCAGATATACACAAGACTACACCCTGAAGAGTTGCTCCATCTTAACTGATAATTTATTAACTAAGTAGTTGCTTCTATTCAAGGATCATTGGACCCCACTGAGACCAAAGAGAACAAGGGCTCCTAGCTCACTCTGAGTATTTAAAAGTGCATCGAAGTCACATCTTTTCCTCATTTTTGCTGTTGTTAGGAGTCATCGAGTCAACTCTATTTCAGTGACCTGATGTACAAGGAATAAAACGCCGTCGGTTCCTGCACCATCGTCAGGATGGTTGGTCTGCCCGAGTCCATGTTGTGGTCACAAGGGGGCTCATTGTCCATCACTTGATGTATTGGTCAGTGGTCTGTTGTGATCTGCCTGGTTTCTTTGAGTAATTTTCAAACAAGATCCTCAGGCCTTCCTTCCTACTCTCTCTTAGTCTGGAAGCGCCCCTAAAACGTGTCCACCATGAGAATCCCTGAGAGTATTTGAAATACCAGTGACCTAGCTTCCAGTTGCATGCAGCCCACACGTCACCACAGCCTGACAGATGGATAGACGTGTGATGGCTTGTTTCTTCATAGTCTGGGATCGCAGGACCGTAAAATCGACAAAGATATGGTTGCCTTCATGTTGTTTTAAAACTCATCTAGCAGTGTTTATTAAACACAGTTATTCTCTCCTTGAAAGACCCTAGCTAGCGTTTCCTGTCAGCACTGTCGTAGAACGGAATCCAGTGTAAGATCTTAGGATCCGGTTTGGTCCTATTCCAGATTCTGTTGTTCATGAAGCATTAAAAAGATCTCATTATAAACGAATCAAGCAGCCTGTTGTTTATAGCGTGGTGGCGTCCAGTCACTTCTGACTCAGACTGGCGCTACAGGAGAGAGTAGGAATGCCCCACAGGGTTCCCAAGCCTCTCATCATTTCAGGAGCAGATGGCCGCATCCTCTGCCACAGCGCTGCTGGTGGGGTTGAACCGCGGACTTTTAAATTAGTTAGCAGCCAAGCGCATGCCCACTGTACCACCAGAGCTGCTTGAGCTCTTGTATAGAGAGTTCATTTGCACTAAGTCTTTTTTTCTTGTCGAGCTAAGAAAAGTAGCACTTGCAGGAAGATTCAGAAGCAAAGCTCTTATGGAGGTGACCAGTCCTGTACTCACCTGCCCCAGATCTCAGCTTCTCCCAGAGCTGCGGAGGTGTTAGGCAAATGCAGGGCTTCATAGACAAACGTTGAGTGGGTTCCACTCATAGCGACCCTGTATAGGGTTTCTGAGGAGCAGCTGGTGAGTGGGAACCACCAACCTTACCGTCCGGTGCTTATCCCACAGTGCCACACCAGGATTCCTCATAGCCAAATAAGCCCTGGTAAGAGGTAAACGAGTCCTGGTGTGGCGCTGTGGGTTAATGCGCCAGACTACAAAGCCATTTGAACTGCAAGGTCGGCTGTTCAAGCTCACCAGCTGCTCCTCGGAAACCCTACACAGGGTCGCTATGGGTCAGAACCGACTCTACGGCACTTAACTACAACAAAGAGGTAAAAAGACTTCTTTGCAATGGTGCATCCAAGAGTCTTTCACGTGTTGGTGTAAATTCTGAATGCTCCAGGGGTAGAGAAGGAGACAAGAGATGTTTCATAAGCAGGGATCTTCAAAGTGATCTGACTCGGAAAACTTTTCTCCACAGATGATCTCAGGAGACTAATGTCCTCTCGAATTGCTGCCACCAATTGGCCCCAACTCTTAGCTACTCTGTGTCCAACAGAACGAAATGTTGCCCAGTCCTGCCCCATTCCTATGATCCATGGCAGATCTATAGGGCTTTCATTGACTGATTTTTCAGAAGTAGATTGCCAGGCATTTCTTCCTGGTCTCTATCTTAGTCTGTAAGCTTTGCTGATACCTGCCCATCATCATGCACGCTTCTGATGGAGGAGCTATTCTGTTGCTCTAGAATAAATAGCTTTAGAAAATGCTGTTACTCGGGCACATTCCATTTATAGGGGACAGTTCAGCATCCCAGAGCAGGAGGCAGGATCTCTCAATATTAAGATCTGATTCTGTTGCACACTTCTTGTTACTGACAGACACATAAAAAGTTGTGTTTTTAATTTAAAATGCTAGCCACTCATTCCTCCTATGCATGTGAAAGTTGGACGACGAATAAGGAAGACCGTAGAAGAATCAATATGTTTGAGTTACGGTGTTAGAGACAAATACTGAAAGTCCCATGAACGCCAGACGAACAAACGAATCTGTGTTGGAAGAAGTACAGCCAGAATGCTCCTTACAAGCCAGGATGCTGAGACTTTGTCTCTCGTACTTTGGACATATTGTCAGGAGAGAGCAGTCCCTGGCAAAGGACATCATGCTTGGTAAAGTGGAAGGTCAGCACAAAAGAGGAAGACCCCCAAGGAAGTAGATTGGCACAGTGGTAAGCAGCGATGGAATCCAGCGTATCAGTTGTTGCGAGGATTGTGCAGGACTGGCAGCGTTTCCGTCTGTTGTGCACGGGGTCACTATGAGTGGTGACCAACTTGGTGTCACCTAGCAACACCAACAAGTGTCACATTCCAAGAGGACATGTTGCAGAAGTTTCCTAGAAGGAAAGATCTGATGTAGAAGCAGCGATTCCAAACGTGTAGGGTTCCGGCAGCATCCTGCCCTCAGGAGCCCGTAGGAGGCGGCCAGGGTTAACTTTGCCCTCAGTGCTCTGCCACATTCCTGCCCAGGAACAACCACACCAGGGCCAGGCACAGCGGGACGGAGGCGGGGCGGGGGGAGCCCAGTGAGTCTGAAGATCCTCTTCTGGAATTAGCCACCTTGTCTCATCCTTACGCAGACCTTACCTCACTGGGCAGAGTCCTCATGTGGCGCTGTAGGATCAGCACTGGACTGTGAACCACAAGAGCAGCAGTTCAAACCCACCAGCCGCTCCTCAGGAACCTTATACAGTGGGGGTGTTGTTGTTGTTGTTAGGTGCCATCAAGTCAGCACCTACTCATAGTGACCTCATGCACAGCAGAACGAAACAATGTCCGATCCTGGGCCAACCTCACTACTGTTACCATACTTGAGTCCATCGATGCTTCCACCTGGCCAATCCATCTCGCGGGTGTCTTCCTCCTTTTCTCTAACTCTCCATCTTACCAAACATGATATCCTTCTCCAGCGACTGGTCCCTCCTGACAATATGTCCAAAGTATGAGAAACAGAGTTCAGCCATCTTGGCCTCCAAGGAGCACTCTGGCTGCACTTCTTCCAAAACAGATCTATTGGTTCTTTTGGCAGCCCATGGCACTTTCAGTATTCTCTTCCAACACCATAACTCAAAGGCATCAATCCTTCTATGGTCTTCCTTATTCACTGTCCAGCTTTCACATGCATATGAGGTTATTGAAAACACCATGGCTTGGGTCAGGCACACCTTAGTCCTCAAGCTGACATCTTTGCTCACAACACTTTAAAAAGCTCCTGTGCAGCAGATTTGCCCTGTGAAATACGTCGTCTGATCTCTTGACTGCTGCTTCCGCGAGTGTTGATAGTTGATCCAAGACGAATGACGTGGGGGTGGGGGACCGTTTTTCTGCCAAGGACCATTTGGATATTTATAACATCATTTACGGGCCAGACAAAATGATCTCGCAGGTCCTATAAGGCCCAGGAGGCAAATGTCCCCCAGCCCTGCCATCCAGGGTCGCTATGAGTCAAAACTGACTCGGCAGCACTCAACAACAACAACAACAACCTCAGTGGCTGAGAACCCTGGTGATGGCATAGTGCCGTAAGTGTTGGGTTACTAACCAAAAGGTCAAAGGTTAAACACACCAGCTGCTCTATGGGAGAAAGACGGGGCAGTTTCTTCGGTAACGGTTTACAGCCTTGGAAACCCCATGGGGCAGTTCTCCCCTGTCCTACAGGGTCACTATGGTTGGTATTGAGTGCTTTCAAGTCCACTCTAACTCACAGTGACCATGTACAAGCAAATGAAACACCGCCAGGTCCTTCCTGCGCCCTCCGCACAATTGTTGCTTCGCTTGAGTCCATTGCTGCTGCCACTGTGCCAATCCATCTCATTGGGGTCTTCCTCTTTATCTCTGATCCTCCACCTCACCAAGCATGATGTCCGTCTCCAGGGACTAGTCCCTCCTGACAACATATCCGAAGTAAGAGATACGAAGTCTGGCCATCTTGGCTTCTAAGGAGCATTCTGGCTGCACTTCTTCCTACACAGATTTATTTGTTCTTCTGACAGTCCATGATAACTTTAATTTTCTCCTCCAACACCATAATTCAAATGCATCAATTCTTCTACAGTCTTCCTTACTCAATGTCCAACTTTCACATGCATATGAGGCTGTTGAAAACACCATGGCTTGGATCAGGCGCACGTTAGTCCTCAAACTAACATCTTTGCTCCTGAGCACTTTACAGAGGTCTTGTGCAGCAGATTTGCCTAATGCAATAGGCAAATTGATTTCCTAACTGCTGTGTCCATGAATGTTAATGGCAGATCCAACCAAAATGAAGTCTTTGACAACTTCAATCTTTTCTCCATTGATGAGGATGTTGCTTATTGGTCTAGTGGTGAGGATTTTTGTTTTCTGTACATTGAGATGTAACCCATAAGTATTTTAAATCCTCTTAATTTTCAACAAGCAAGGTTGTATCATCTGCATACCACAGGTCATTAATGAGTCTTCCTCCAATCCTGATGCCACATTCTTCTTCATATAATCCAGTTTCTCAGATTATTTGCTCGACATACAGATTGAGTAAGTATGGTGAAAGAATACAAGCCTGGTGCACACCTTTTCTGATTTTAAACCATTTAGTGTTCCCTTGTTCTGTTTGAATCTATGTACACGTTTCTCATGAGCACAATCAAGTGTTCTGAACACTCATTCTTTGCAATGTTGTCCATAGTTTGTCATGATCCACACCATCGAAAGCCTTTGCGTAGTCAATACAGCACAGGTGAACATCTTTCTAGTATTCACTGCTCTCAGCCAAGATCCATCGGACATCAGCAATAATATCCCTCGTTCCACGTCCTTTTCTGAATCCGGCTTGAACCTCTGAAAGTTCCCTGTCAATGTACTGCTGCAGACACTTTGAATTGTCTTTAGCAAAATTTTACTTGCATGTGACATTAATGATATTGTCCTATGAAGTCCGCATTCCACTGGGGTACATCTCCTTGGAATGGGCACAAATACGGATTTTCTTCCAATCAGTTGTCCAGGTAGCTAGCTGTCTTTCAAATTTCTTGGCAGAGATGAGTGAGTGCCTCCTGTGCCACCTCACTTTCTTGAAAGATTTCAACTTTTATTCCATCAATTCCTGGTGCTTTGTTCTTTGCCAATTCCTTCAATGCACCTCGGACTTCTTCCTTCAGTACCATTAGCTCCCTCTTGTAACGGTTGAACGTCGCCATTTCTTTTTGTGACAATGATTCTGTATATCCCTTCCATCTTCCTTTGATGCTTTCTGCATCAGTCAATAGTTTGCTGAAACAATCTTTCAGAATTACAAGTTGAGGCTTGACTTTTTTCCCTCAGTTCTTTCAACTTGAGAAATGCTGATCATGTTCCTCTCTTCTGATTTTCTAGCTCCAGATCTTTGCACATTTCATTAAAATATTTGACTTTGTCTTCTTGTGCTGCTGTTTAAAATTTTCTGTTCAGCTCTTGTACCCCCTCATTTCCTCCGTTTGTTTTATCATCTCTATTCTGGAGAGCAAGTTTCAGAGTATCTTCTGACATCCTTTTTGGTCTGTTCATTCTTCCTTGTCTTCTTAATGACCCTTTGCTTTCTTCTTGCATGATGTTCTTGATGTCATCCCACAACTCTTATGATTTTTGGTCATTAGTGTCTAATGCATCAAATCTCTTCTTAAGATGATCTCTAAATTCAGGTGGGATATGTTCATGGTCATATTTTGGCTCTCGTGGACTTGTTTTCATTTTCCTTAACTTCATTCTGAACTGGCATATGAGCAATAGATGGTCTGTTCCACAATCTGCCCATGGCCTTGTTTTGGCTAAAGCTATAGAACTTTTCCATGTCTGAAATATGAGAGATGAAATCTCACCATCTTCTTGGCATCTAAGAAGCATTCAGCTTCTACTTCTTCCAACACAGATTTATTTGTTCTTCTGGCACTCCATGGTTCCAATACATGGTCTCTTTCCACAGACGTAGTCAATTTGATATCTGTGTATTCGATCTGATAAGGTCCATTTGTATAGTCATCTTTTATGTCCTTTTAAACAGGTATTTGCAATGAAGAAGTCACTGGTCTTGCGAAATTCCAACATGTGCTCTCTAACATCATTTCTATCACCAAGGCCATATTTTCCAACATCTGATCCTTCCTTTTCCCCCCTAAACTTTGCATTCCAATCATCAGTGATTACCAATACATCTTGAGTGTGTGTTTGATCAATTTCAGACTAAAGATGTTGGTAGGATTCTTCAATTTCATTGTCACTGGCTTCAGTGGTTGGTGCATAAATTTGAATAATAGTGGTATTAACTGGGCTTCCCTGTAGGCGCATGGATATTATCCTATCACAGACAGCGTTGTACCTCATGACTGTTCTTGATATGTTCTTTTTCATGACGAATGCAACACCATTCCTCCTCAATTTGTCATTCTCAACATAGTAAACTGTGTGATTGCCAGATTCAAAATGGCCAATACCAGTCCATTTCAGCTCACTAATATCTAGAATATTGATGTTTATGCGTTCCATTTCATTTTTACAACTTTCAATTTTCCTAGATTCTCATTTCATGCATCGCATGTTCCAATTGTTAATGGATGTTTACAGCTGTTTCTCCTCATTTTAAGTTGTGCCCTATCAGCAAATGAAGTTCCCAGGAACTTTGCTTCATGCATGTCATTAAGGTCAACTCTACTTTGAGGAGGCCGCTCTTCCCCAGTTGCATTTTGAGCGCCTTCCAACCAGAGGAGCTCATCTTCTGGCACTGTACCTGACAATATTCTGGTGCTCTTCATCATGTTTCAATGTTCAGTATACTGCTGTTGACTGTGTTCTACTGCTCTTCACAAGGTTTTCAGGAGCTAAACATTCAGAAATAATCTGCCTCTCCTCCCTAGTCTGTCTGGAAGGTCCGCTGAAATCTGTCCACCTGCCGGCATTCATAGCAGCAGTGGCAGTAACAGGCCAGCCACCCCAGTGTGATGAACTGGTTGCTAAGAGACAGAATTGACTCCACTGCAGTGTTTGGTCCCTCACTGAGTAGCTCCAAGGCTGAGCTGTAGCGAGTGCTCAGACAGTACTCTCTGTGGTTATTATTATAAAGGGGGCTGGGAGGGATAGCTATCCAGTAAGCCTTGAGCTGCTAACTGCATGGTTGGCAGTACAACCCCACCAACCAGCCACGCTGTGGGAGAAAGATGCGACTTTCTGCTCCCATAAAGATTTACTGTCTCAGAGACCCTATACAGGGTTGCTATAGTCAGGATGAACTTGACGGCTGTGAGCTCGGTTTTTGTTTGGTATCATTATTATAGCAGCCCTGTGGCGCAGTAATTAAACTCCTGACTGCTAACTGAAAGTTCAGCTGTTCAAATCCACCAGCCGCTGCTTGGGAAGAGCGGGCCATCTGCTGTCTTGAAGAGAACGGCCTAGGAAACTCTACAGGGCAGTCTCACTGTGTCACACGGGGTCACTGAGTCAGGATCGTTTTCTTGGTTGCACCTCTTCACCACAGTGCTCCTTGTGTTTCTGTAGAACTCAAGTTCCGGTTGCAGTCTTCAGGACCAGAAGATCGCCAGCATGTTCGACCTGACCCCCGAGTACCGCCAAGAGCACTTTCTGACAGGTCTGCTCTTTACGGAACTGGCCGCGGCCCTGGACGCTGAAGGAGAAGGGTATGTTTCTGACACTAAATATGGACTTATGAGACCAGCAGGCCAGCGTCTCGTGCTCAACGTGAATCTCTGCCGTTCCCCAGTTCCAAAGAGCCCTGGTGGCGTAGTGGGTGATGCACTGGGCTCCCAACCACATGGTCAGCACTTAGAATTCCCCAGGTTCTCCTCAGCAGAATGACAAGACCGTCTGTGCATATAAAGCTGGACCAGAAACCCTGAATAGGGTTGCTGTGAGTCTGTCCCCAAGTCTTTCTCAATCTTAACTTCTTGTTGCTGTTGTTAAATTCCATCGAGTTGGTTCTGATTCACAGAGATACAGTATGGGGTGTCCAAGCAGTGGCTGGTGGGTTTGAACCGCCGACTTCTTGGTTCAAACCGACAATCCTAACTAAATTCTCCCAATTTTCTCGATAAATTCTTTAAACTATCCTGACAACTTTCACACATATATAGATGTTAATAAGGTGTGGAGGGGAAGGTTTCAGCTGGAGGAAAACTGCCCTCACACACATAGGTGCACACACATGTTGGTACACAGGCACACAGACACACAGACGTGCATTCATGTTTAGTCTGAAGGTCATTTTGGGTTCACATTAGCAGTGACTGCCACTCTGTGTTCCTTCTAGTCTGGTATCTAGAGAAACAGTCCTGCCGTCAGTTTTGACTTCTTGTACGATGGCCCCTAAGGAGCCCTAGTGGGGGCGTGGGCTGCAAATTGTAAGGTCAGTGGTTCAAGTCCATCAGCTGCCCCTAAGAGAACGAGGAGGCTTCCTGCTCCTGTAAAGACTGACGGTCTTGGGACCCCCGTTACTGGGTCACTGTGAGCGGGAACCAACTGGACAGCTCACAGCAGCAACAGAATGGCCCCAGATCTAGTCCAGGACCAGGTGGGGAGTTGGCATAATGGTCACCTGTAACTTTCCCAAACCAGGAGATGCAGTCTTCAAACACAGCCACACTTTCTCACACACACAACATACGCTCACCATGCATGTACCCACACATTTACACCCCACAGAGGCAAACCCACACTCACACACAACACACCCACACACATGACACACTGACCACACACACGACACACCCACACACATGACACGCTGATCATACACACAACACACCCCCATACATGACACACTGACCACACACAACACCCCCACACTCACATGACACCCTGACCATACGCACAACATACCCACACATGACACTCGGGCATTCATTCACACACACACACGACACACTGACACACACACACATACATGACATGTTGACACGCACACCCTCACACATCACACACAGCACTCCCTCAGACATTCACACATGCACAAACCACATTCCCACACACACCACCCTCTCACACATGTACTCACATTGACACATAGGACACCTGCACACAATCACACACACACACACACACTCCTGCATCACACCCTCACACAGACACTCGGTGCCTCCACTAGCCCCAGAGGGTAGCTAGCGAACTGGTCACCTTGGTGATGTGACTTCCAATCTCTGGACTCTCAGCTACACTCCAGGCAAGTCATTAGACGCGGAGGCCCTGCTGGGCTTGACCACATGACTGAAACCCACAAGAACCCAGTCCTGCACACGCATGTCCTCTTGCTGTTGAGGCAGTTTGGGATCTCACAGAACCAGCCACCTGTGGTGACATCTCAGTACCTGGAACCCTAGGGGGCGTCTCAGCTCCAGTTTCCACTGGGCCTCCTGGACCTCTACCTGCAGCGTGGACACAAACATCCACATGCATGAAAAACACAGTGTTGTCAAGTGTGTGGAACTTACCAGCCATCTTTGTTCTAAACTAGCAAGCACATCGTGCTATCCAAATATGACTAATTGTTGTAAGCACAAAGACATTGGGTAGAGCATGGCCACCTTTAAAAATGCCGTCCCCAGATCTTTTAGCTGCAGTGTAACCATCTGGCATAGTGGACACTTGGACTATTACTTCCTCTATCACCATTAATTCTGATGTCTGAGAAGATAAGCGTTCTTTATTGAATAACGACCATTAGGTACCAAGTATACTACAAGTTGCTTGGTTGATTCCCTTTTCACTGAGGCTTAGCTCGAATTAGGGTAGCTGTGAGTCAGAATAGACTCAAAGGTAGTAGGTTAGGCTGGTTTGGCTTTCAGGTTTGCCTCTCTTTTGATGTCCAGGAAACCAATGGGGCACTTCCCAGAGCTTATCGGTGATCAATTTATCAGTGGGCCAGGGTTTTTCAAGGGCCCAGATCTTAGTATCACTGTAGTTCACTGTTACCGATGGGTACACTTAGGTAGTCAGCAGTCAGATCACAATATAGAATGTTTCCAGCATCCCACATGTTCCCAAAGGGCTTCACAGCTCTTAACGTCATCAGTTAACATTGTCTATTCTTGAACTGCAGTCTCCAAGTGGTGAAAACAACTAAGGTGTTCAGCTATAACCCAAAGATTGGGATGGAAAATTCGGCAAACACGATTAATGTGACTGATACCACGAAACTGTGCAGGTGAAAAATGTTGAGTTGACACCTACAGTGTTAGCTGTGTTTTTACAATAGTCAAGTGTGTTGTTGGTATCATGTGCCGTCGAGTTGTTTCCCACTGATAGCTGCCCCATGTATGACAGAACGTAGCGTTACCCAGTCCCACGCCATGCTCACAGCCTTTGCCATATTTGAACCCAGTTAGTGGTCCAGCCACTGTGTCGGCCCATCACATGGAAAGTCAAAGGTCTTTCCATTTGTCTCTGACCCTTGCCTTAACAAACAAGAAGGCCCTCCCCAGGACTGGTCCCTCCTGATAGCATGTCCAAAGTGAGTTAGAGTCCTGCCATCCTCCATTCTCAGGAGAATCCTGGCTCATGTTTGTTCTTTTAGCAGTCCATGGTATAGTCAAGGTTCTTTACCAACACCGTAATACAAATAGATACATGATAGATAGATAGATAGATAGATAGATAGATAGATAGATAGATAGATAGATAGATGATAGGTAGGTAGATGGATAGATAGATAATAGTTAGAATGATAAATAGATAAATAATAGAATGATAGATAAATAAATGACAGAATGATATGGAGAGATAGACAGATAGAAGATGATAGATAGATAATAGAATGATAGAGAAATAATAGAATGATAAATGACAGAATGCTAGAGAGAGAGAGAGAGATGATAGGTAGGTAGATAGATGATGGGTTAGTAGGTAGATATATAGATAGGTAGATAATACTAGGAGCGCAGTTCTACTCTGACACACGTGGGGTAACCATGTAAGAATCAAGTTGATGGTAACTAGTTTGATTCTAGGACTCTATGTTCTCTTGGTGACAATTGTGCCTGGAAGACCCTTAAGTGAAATTGCATACATCAGTACATTTATTCTTTGCGGTTCTCTGCACTCTTCCTTCTGGGTGTATACCACCATCTGTCTACTGTAAGTAGACATTTGGCTTGCTTCCAGTTTGAAGCTACTATGAAAAACACTTGCTATAAACACTCTTGCATACGGCTTTTGGTGGACAGCATAAAAATTCATTTCTCTGGGCTCTAAATAGAGCCTAATTCTTATTTCTCTTTCATTTACATCTACTGTTCTTAAGGAGGTAAAAAATGTGCATGTGGTGTTTTGTTTTGTTTTGTTTTTGATAGCCACAAGAATATGCATTGAATTTGGCAAAGTCAAACAAATTAAGGCCAAAGCAAACAGCAGGGCAGATAGAATAAAGACCAGAACCTAAATAAATACAATAGAGAACAGAAAACAAATAGAGAAAATCCACAAAACCAAGCTGTGGTTCTTTGACAAGATCAACAAAACTGACCAACCATTCACTCTCCTGCCCTAGAATTGTTGTCTGTTGGACTCAATGACCCCCGTACAGGGTTTCTGAAGCTTTTAAATCTTGGTGGGAGCAGAAACCTTCATCTTTTTCCCACAGAGTGACTGCGGGCTTGAACCACTTACCTTGTGGTCCGAAGCCCTGTGTTATCCTACAGAGATGCCATGCTTCCAGACACTGAATCAAACTTTTTTTTTAGATCTGACACTAAAATCACAAGTAACCAAAAGGAACAATGGACAGTTGGACTTTATCGAAATTAAAACTTTGGTGTTTCATAAGCCTGCATCAAGAAAGTGAACCGTCAACCCACAGAATGGGAGAAAGTAATTGCCAATTGTATGTGTACATACGATAAGGGACTTGTATCTAGAATAGATAAAGAAATCTCACAACATTATTAAAAATGATATACACAAACCAATGAAAACATAGACAAACTTGAATAGACATTTCGCCAAGGAAGATATGCAAATGTCCAGTAAGCACATGACAAGATGCTGGATATAATTAACTACGATTATTGTATGTTACCAAGTCGCTTAGCACCTATCGTGGTCCACTATGACTGAGTAGAAATGCCTCAGAGGGCTTGTTAGGCTGAAATCTTTATGGGTCGGACTCTCCCGGTCTTGTCTCATGAGGGACAACTGGTGGCTTCTGACTGTGGACCTTCTGGCTGGCATCCAAGCACTTAACCGTTGTGCCACCAAGCCTCCTTCAGTTTGCCATTATTGTTGTTGTTGGATGCAGTCGAGTCAGTTCTGACTCATGGCGACCCTGTGCACAACACAATAAACCACTGCCCTGTCCTGCGTCATCCTCACAATTAATGTTACATTTGAGCTGCCTCCGTGCCAATCCATTGGGTTGAGGGTCTTCCTCTTTTTGTTTCAGCCCCTGTGTCAGTCTCCCTCATTGAGGGTCTTCCTCTTTCTCACTGACTCTCCACTTTACAAGCATGATGCCCTTCTCGAGGGACTGGCCCCTCCTCTTTGTCCAAACCATGTGAGACCGTATCCTTCCGTTCTTGCTTCAAAGGAGCCCATAGATGGTACTTCTTCTTCTAAGACACATGTGTTTGTTCTTCTGATAGCTCATGGTGCTTTCCATACCATGCTGTTGTTGTTGTTGTTAAGTGCCGTCACGTCAGTTCCGACTCACAGCGACCCTGTATAAGGTTTCCAAGGAGCGGCCAGTGAGCTTGAACCGCCGACCTTCCGGTTCAAACCAACCTTGCAGTCCAGCGCATTATCTCGCCCAGGGTCATGCCAGGAGTCCACCATGCCATTGGTGATACTTGCTGTTTATATGTGTCTTGGTGTCGGTTCCGACCCATAACGACCCTGAACAGAGTTTCCAAGGCTGTAAATCTTTACAGGAGTAGAAAGCCTCATCTTCTCCCACGGAGCTGCTGGTAGTTTTGAACTGCTGACCATGAGGTTCACAGCCCAACTTGTAACCAACCATTCCATAAAAGAAATACAAATCAAAGCCACAATGTTGTTGTTGTGAAGTGCCATCAAGTCGGGTCCGACCCATAGCGACCCTGTACAGGGTTTCCGAGAGTGTAAATCTTTACGGGAGTAGAAAGCCTCATCTTTCTCCCGCGGAGCAGCTGGTAGTTTCGAACCGCTGACCTTAAGGTTCGCAGCCCGATTCGTAACCACTACGCTACCGGAGCTCCTTATAAAGCCACAATGAGACGCCCCTTTACAGCCAGAAGGATGGTTATAAGCAAAAAGATGGACAACATCTTTTTTGTTATTGTCAATATGTGGAGAAACTGGAGCCCTCATCCCTTGCTGGTGGGAATGGAAAATCATCTGGCAGTTCTTTAGAAGGCTAGACAGAGAGTTCCCATATAATCCAGCTATGCTACTCCTCTGTAGCTAGCCAAGAGAAATGCAAAGAGGCATCCACATCAAAACTTGTGCATGAATATCAGGAGCAACAGGCTGGATTCTTAATAGCCAGAAGGTGGGAACAAGACAAAGAAACATGGTTCATCTAATGACTGGATGGAAAAGATTCGGTGTATCCATACAATGGAGTCTTGTTTAGCAATTCAGAAGGAATGAGTACCAGCCATGGTATGCCAAGAGATTCAAGACTGACTTTCTGGAATTCATATTGATTCATCTCCCGGGGCCCTAATGTCTGCTTTCCTCTCTTCACCCATCAGGGTCCTCAAAGTGCAAAGGAAGGCGGTCAGTGCAATCTACAGCCTGCTGAGTAGCCATGACCTGGACCCCCGATGTGCCAAACCAGAAGTGAAGGTCAAAGTCACTGCCCTCTACCTGCCCTTGGTTGGCATCATTTTAGATGCTTTGCCCCAGTTGTACGACTTCACAGGTAAGACGCCCCCTGTTTCTTCCTTGCATTGATGGACAGACCAAAGCCTGTATCGCAGAGTCGAGTCAGACACATGGCGACCCCTCGTGTCTCAAAGTAGAACTGTGCTCAAGGGGGCTTTCAGGAGCTGGGGTTCTGCTCAAGCCAACTGCCAGGGTTTCCTTCCAAGGTGTCTCTGGGTAAATTTAAAACATCAGTCTTTCCGTCAGTAGCCAAGGGCATTAGTCATTTAGGTGGATGGGAGCCACTGCCAACTACCCCAGCAGAACGAGACCACTCCCATTGGCTGCGGAGCTGGTGCCTGTGTGAACGATTGCTTCCACCCGTGGTTCCCCACCCTCTGTTGGAACAAACCAGAGAAGTTCTGGGAAATCACTGGGCTGCTCTCTTAGCTGATGAGGACACTGGGGTCTGGAGATGGCTTATGTGAGCCTGGCCATCCTTGTAGGAGGTTACTCTTGGCATCTGGAACCTTCCTGATCTTTCCTTTTCTTCCAAATGCCAAGTGTGGGATAAAATTGCCTGAAGCACAACAGACAGACTATTAATATTTTTACAAATTGGATTCTATCTTCACAACTTGAGCAAATGGAAATGTTGTTTACACACTAACGTTTCTAGAAAATCTGAGGTCTAAATGATAGTGTTGATGGGTCTAGTCAAATAGGAGTTTTAAGCAACAAATCAGCAGCAAGTGTTTTGTTGTTGTTTTAATGTTTTATTGTGAATTATGTGATAGTTTACATGGGAGAACATTAGTTTTACATTCATCCTATCATATACCATTTCATCCATGATTACAGTCCCCTCCATGCATCACCAACCAACCAAAAGGTAGACACTACAAACCTGACCCCCAGTCGTCAGCACACAGCCCCTCTCCCTCTCTGTGTCTAAAGTCCCCAACTGCTCCATCTCTCCACGTCATCGTCTCAGCAGCAAGTGTTTTAACATACTTTTCCAAGAAAAGCATCTGTATTTGGTAGCATTCAAAACAGCCGTCCTTTTAACCAGGGGGATCCTTGTACTAAGTAACCCACTCCTATCCAGTGGATTCCGATTCAGAGGACTTGGTAGGACAGGCTAGAAGATGGGACTGTCCCTCAGCTGTGACGTTTAGGGAAGCAGCTGGCCTCATCTTTCTCCCGCAGCTGGTAGGTTGGAACCACCAACCTTTCAGGCAGCAGCTGAGTGCTTAAACCACTGCACCACCAGGCTACTTAAGTACATGTTGTTGTTAAGTGTCTTCAAGTTGGTTCAGACTCATAGCATTCCTGTGTCAGATTTCTGAGGAGCAGCTAATAAGTTTGAACTGCCAACCTTGTGATTGGCAGAGCAGTGCTTATCCTATGTCCACTTGCTACTCAAGAGAAAGATGAGGCTTTCTACTCCCATAAAGATTTACAGCCTCAGAAACCCTTTACAGATTGTTGTTGTTGTTATTAGGTGCCATCAAGTCGGTGCTGACTCATGCCTTATGCCCACCTTATGCACAGCAGAACGAAACACTGCCCAATCCTGGGCCAACCTCACTACTGTTGCCACGCTTGAGTCCATCGATGCTGCCACTTGGCTAATCCATTTCGCGGGGGTCTTCCTCTTTTTCTGTGACCCGCCACCTTACCAAACATGATATCCTTCTCCAGTGACTGCTCCCTCCTGACAAGAT